AAACTATGTAACAGGGTAGGACTTAAGGCAGACACCTTGTTAACAAAATGATCATTTTAAAAAGTTTTAATTTGATAGGCAAATAATATGAAACAAGTTAAATTTAGATTACAAATTTAGATATGAAATCTAAATTTAGATTGGATTAACACATTTTATGTTCATATTTTTCTAGTGAACAGCCATGGGTTTTGTACACTGAACACTCTCCTAAGCACCTTTTCCTTTTGTTCCATCAGAGGAATTGAGCCCTGCCCCCATGCCCATGGCCAATCAGACTGCCACCGTGGGGGAGTTTATTTTGCTGGGATTTGCCCTCAGCAGGCAGGTGGAGCTGCTGTTCCTGATGCTGCTGCTGTCCACATTCCTGCTGACCCTCCTGGGGAACCTGCTCATCATTTCCATTGTGCTGTCCTACTCCTGTCTCCATACCCCCATGTACTTTTTCCTGTGCAACCTCTCTATCCTGGACATCCTCTTCACCTCAGTCATTTCTCCAAAAGTGTTGGTCAACTTAGCATCTGGGGATAAAACCATTTCCTTTGCTGGGTGTATCACCCAGTGCTATTTCTACTTCTTCCTGGGCACGGTAGAGTTTCTTCTGCTGACAGTCATGTCCTATGATCGCTATGCTGCTGTCTGTTACCCGCTGCAGTACAGCACCATCATGAGACCTTCTGTCTGCATTGGGACTGTTGTGTTTTCTTGGGTAGGAGGCTTCCTATCTGTGCTCTTCCCAATCATCTTCATCTCTCAGCTGCCCTTCTGTGGCTCCAACATTATTAACCACTTCTTCTGTGACAGTGGGCCTTTGCTGGCCTTGGCCTGTGCAGATACCACTGCCATTGAGCTGATGGATTTCATGCTTTCGTCCACCGTCATCCTCTGTTGCATAGTCCTTGTGGCCTATTCCTATACGTACATCATCTTGACGATAGTGCGCATTCCTTCCTCAAGTGGAAGGAAGAAGGCCTTTAACACCTGTGCTTCCCACCTGACAATAGTCATGATTTCTAGTGGCATCACAGTGTTTATCTACGTGACACCCTCCCAGAAAGAATATCTGGAGGTCAACAAGGTCCCTTCAGTACTGAGCAGTGTTGTGACCCCATTCCTCAACCCCTTTGTATATACTCTGAGGAATGACACGGTGTTGGGGGTCCTAAAGGACGTGTGGGTCAGGGTTCAAGCAGTTTTAGAAAAGAGGATGATGACAATGCTGAGGAGCAAATTGTCCTCTTACAAAGACCAATAAGGAGGGGCTAGTCCCTCTTCCTCTTTACCGCCATGTATGTACTGTATCCATTCCCTGCCGTAGAAAGATAGGACTTGCTTTACCAAAGGGATGAGCTAGCTAAGGGATCCTGAATGGTTTCTAGTGGAAAGAACTTAGCTTGGAGACAGGGACTTGAACTCTAGCCTTGGTTCTAACTTGAATTCTGTGGCCACAGCTGTGTCACCAGCCACTGACCTCTAGTGCTCTCATTGGAAGTGTGTCAGGGCTGGACTTGATGATCTCCAAGTCCCATCCACAATGAATATTCTAAGAATTACAGAGCCTTGCAACCTGTGTCCTATTCAAAGTCCCAACACGTTTGGCTTCATTTCCTCATGGATCCTGACCACAACTCTTCTACCAGCTGACACAAAGTCCTTCCTGGCCCCCTCCTCATGGATCCTCGTTCCTTTCATCTTCTCTAGGAATCTCTCTAAGAATAACCTTTATTATTCTCTAGTCCACTGTCATACCCTCAGTGGACATTTGTAATGATTGTGGTGGACATATGTAGTCTGTTATTTATTTATTTTTATTTTTTAATTAAATATGTTTTTATTCATTTTAGAGAGAAGGAGAGAAAGAGAAACACTGATGTGAGAGAAACCCACGTTTATAGCATGAACAGTAACCACAAATCCCTAGAATATATGAGGAAAGGTACTGATTGAGTGGCATGTTCGTAGTGATTTCTTAGTCCTAGGAATGTTAGGAATGGCCCATTCAGATGGAGTGTGTGTGTGTGTGTGTGTGTGTGCACATCTCAGCATGCACCCATGTGTGTAGGCCTGGTAGTGTAAACAGGGCACTGTGGTTGACCTTCTTCAGGCCTTTCTTGCACCTGCTCCTGAGGAATGTGTTGGCATGGTGCTGGAAAAATCAGATCAGCATGTTGTGCAGCCTCCCAAAGTGGTTCTGGAATAAGGAGGTCAACTTTCAGAGCCATAGGCCCTACTTCTCCACATCATGGCCTTCTGGGTCAGGTGTCAGAGACAGGGTCCCTTAGACCAGTGCTTGTAGACGGGGGCAGAAGAATTTCTTGGGGAATTTTTTAAAAATATATATTTTTATTGATTTCAGAGAGGAAGGGAGAGGGAGAGATAGAAACATCAATGATGAGAGAGAATCACTGATTGGCTGCCTCCTGCATGCCCCCTACTGGGGATCGAGCCTGCAACCCAGGTATGTGCCCTTGACCGGGATTGAACCCAGGACCCTTCAGTCCATAGTCCGACATTCTATACACTGAGCCAAACCAGCTAGATCTTAGGGAATGTTTTTAAATGTAGATGTCATGGTCAGATTTACCGAGTAAACTCAGGAATACAGTCTAGGAATATATATATATATATATATATATATATATATATATATATATATATATATATAAAGACAAGCGACCAGAACAATGGAACTACTGGAATGACTGGAATGACTGGTCGCTATGATGCGCACTGCGGATTGGGGCCCTGATTGCCCCCTCCCCGCAACTTCCTGAGGCCCCTCCCCCCGGCCTGCCCAACCCCCGATTGAGGGCAGGGCCAGCCAGCCAACTGCCTGAGGCCCCTCTCCCCTGCTGGCCTGGCCCCACCCCACCTGTGCATGAATTCATGCACTGGGCCTCTAGTATTTTAAAAAATACCCAGTTGTCTTGTGAGCAGGTTAAGTTTGGTGACTGCTGCCTCGCTTGGCCTGGTCTCCAAAGGGGTGGTAACATCATTTAGTATTCACAAGTTCTTTTGACTTTATCTCCTAAAGATTTCTTGCGTCTTTCTCCTCTGTATGTCCACTGCCCACTGGTCAAGTCCAAGCTACCAGAATCTCTGGCCTGGACCATTGCAGTAGCCTCAAAGTTCCCAATCTGTACTCCACAAAGCAGCCAGAGTGGTCATGTCAAGTTTCAGATTGGATTGTCACACGCCCCACCCCACCCTGACGTGCAGTCCAGTTATTTTTTCCCCATTGCTTTCAGGATGAACACAACATTCTTTTCATGGCCAGAGGGGATGCATGAGTAGGTTCCCACTCACCTCCCCAGCTTCATCCCACAGCCATCGTCCCTGCTAATAGACTTGCACTCAAAGTTCTCTCCAGATACTCCTTCCCCTCCCTTTGCACTTCAGGCTCCGCTGTTATTACTTTTGAGGGGGATCTTCCCACCTTTCAGGGACAGCCCTTTTCAGTTGCAATTTTGTTTTGATTTATAGTGATTTGACTAAGTGTGCATCTTCATGTAGATTGTAATTTGCCAGGAAGGCAGGGACCCCTTTTCTTCACTATTGTAGCCTTAGTGGTCAGTATGCAGTAAGCTCTAAATACAGGGTCGCACCCTGGCCAGTGTGGCTCAGTTGTTGAGCATCCTCCTGTGCACCAAAAGGTTGCCAGTTGGATTCCCAGTCAGGGCACATGCCCAGGTCTGGTTCAGTCTCTGGTCAGGGTGTGTGGGAGGCAACTGATCAATGTTTTTTTACAATTGATGTTTCTCTCTCTCCCTCCCTCTCCTTTTCTCTCTTCTCTCAAAAACCAATAAAAACATATTAAAATAAATAAGGAAATACAGGGTCAGGCAAAAGTAATTTAAAGTTGTTTGTATGGAAAATAGTACAGCCTGGCCAGAGTGGCTTAGCTGGTTGGAGTGTCCTCCCGGACACTGAAAGGTTTCTGGTTCTAATCTGGTAAGGGTGCATGCCTGGGTTTTGGGTTGGATCCCTGCTGGGGTTGGGGCAAATATGAAAGGCAACTAATCACTGTCTCTCCCTCCCCCCCTTTAAGCATATTCTAGAGTGAGAACTTTAAAAATATAATAAATTAAAAATAATAATTAATAAGAATAAACTGTTTTGTGTACTCACAACAGTAAACCTTCTTTTGCCCCACCCTGTACCTGCCCTCTTCTTCATATGGCTGCGTTGGCAATCAGCAATTTTCAGTCACTGAGAAGACACGGGGTGTTGGGATGGATCAGAGCTTTATAGTTATATCCAGAGTTCCATTCACACATTTGTTCATTCATCACGATATATGTGGCATGATGTGCCACTTGGAGCTGTGGACTTCTGGGTCTAGCTGGAGTCAGCCAGCACACAGCAGTAACTGTTGGTAACGATTTGAATACCTGGCATATCTCACTTATCTCGGCTCAGTGAAAACAAACATTTATTAAACACAAACTAGGTGCCAGATGTGCCCTTGTTCTTAAGTAGCTTATGATCTATGGAGGGAAGACTTACTAGTACATGAAATAAGTGGCTACACATTTACAAGTTTTACAAAAGGGGCTGTAGTGTGTGCCATGGAGACACAGAAGAGAGGGTCCAAGTCCAGCCTGGGTGTCAGAGACAGGCTTCCCTGCGTAAGGACTATTTGAGGGGATGACTAAGAGTTAGGAAAACAGGCTATAGGGCAGTCCAGGTGTAGGTCAATGTGGAATGAACTTCAGAAGATGGCTATTTACTGAGCAGCAGGGAGTACCCAGTTCTGCCCAATTCTCCTGAGTTGGGGTTTGGCCCCTCCACAGTCCCGACATCCTCTGAAGGGGTTGGCTGAGATGGCCCCTGCCAATCTGTGTCTAGAGGGCAAATGCTGGGCTAAATGGAGAGGGAAAGGTGTGTAAGTGGGAAGCCCTCAGGGCCCCTTCTCTGACTCAGGCATCACATGGGCTGCTGTGAATTCAGCACCACTCCCAGCACTCCTGTCGACCAATACTAAACATCAGCACCACCAGCAGTTTTTATTCATTTCTTTATTAATGTAGAAAAAGAGCCCAAGGCAGCTGGACCAGTAGTACAAAGCATGGTGAGTTAATACTATTTTGGTGAAAGGGTTGGCTTTACAAAAGAGAAGGAGCAGGCAGGAGCTGTCCTGGTTCTGGGCCCAGGTCCAGCCTGCTGCCCGGAACCTCGCAGGAGCACCTGGAACCAGTCCTTGGAGAGGATGACAGGTGGGTTGAGCGGGATGAACTGGAGACCACGGAGGACAGATGGCAGGGGTAGAGGGCCAGGCAGTGAGAACCATCCTGTGGCTGATGAGGACAGGAAACTGCTGGCATGAGACTCCCCACTGGACCATGGGCAGGGGCTCCAGGTGGCCTCAGCTCTGGGAACAGGAAGAAAAATCTTGCCGGGGGCAAGGGAATCCAGAGCTGGCCCTGGGTTGAAGAGCCTTTCCCTCCTCTCTCCACCAGGGGCCACCTTTGCTCTGTACTATGGGAGGGGCTTCAGGGCCCAAGGCACAGAGGGAGGCCCAGAGGCCTCCCTGTTGGGAGGAAGAGTGGGCAGGGAAGGAAGCACTTGAGTGTTCCTGGCTTAGGCAGCCAGGGCTGAGACACAGGGCGGGACAACAGCACCCCTGTGCAATGGGGCTGGAATGTGGGCAGGGATGGGCTTACCCTTGGCCAGTTACCCCATGGCAATGGTGCCTGCCTCGAACCTTTGCAAATGGAGTCTGCACCATCACCAGGTGTCAGCAGACCTGGGTTCTAGCCTAAGCTTTTCTGGAACAGAGCTATATCACCATGGGCCAGCCATGTCCTGCCCTGGCCTGCTCCTCATCTGCTAACGAGGGCTTTGGCTATGACCTCTCAGGTCATGGGAGAGACTCTGAAGAATAAGGGGCTCTCCAGAACCTGCTCTTGGTAGCTCCGTGGGAACTGGTCCCAACCATACCTTGGACACTGGCATGGGCGGGGCAAGGAGGTGGAGGAGGAGGAAGTTCTTTTGTGGAACCTACCCCCAGAAACGTTCCAGAGCTAGGAAAGACTGTGGGGGCCTCTGCTTTGTCCAGGGCTAGAGAGGCTGCCCTCCCTTTGGCAGGGAGGGGACGTGGTTCCGTACAGACCCTTCACAACCACTATCTGGGTAACGCTTGGCACGAAGAGAATGGGGTGGCACTAAGAGACCCTTTATGTTCCTCCCCGGGGGTGGGAAGCTCAAGGCCTTGTTGGAGCTTCTGCCTCCAGCCCTCAGCCTGGGGTCAGGAGTACTTTTCACTGTGTTCTTGCCTTGGGAACAGCCCAAGACTCTGACTGGCTGGCACATGTTAGTTGGTGAGGAAAGGACAGAGGGTGAGTAAGCAGCCAGGGAGGTGAGAGCGACTCTCTGGCTTTCTCCGCTTCCTCTAGTGAGAGCAGCTCAATCAACCGAGTCACAGATCTCCTCCACCACCGCATTGAAGATGTGTGGCTGGTCTGCATAGACGTGGTGCGAAGCACCCTCGATTTCCTGTGAAGAAAGGAACCGCCAGGGTGGGACCGCCCTTTATTCCAGGCACTGGAAAGCTGTCAAAACATTTCTTTTCCTTTAGACCTCCCTGCCTATCACCCATGAGCACTTGTCAGAAACCATGGTCCACTTTCTCCCTGGATCCTGGCACTTTCCTGTAGGAGCCAACGACTCTCAATATCCCATTTTCCTTCTCCCATGACCATTCACTGTATCTTGCTTGCCATGCTAGCCCCACCACCGATCTGCTCATTTGACCCACAGGCCCGGTAAACCAGGGCCCAATAGGCAGCCAGTCTAATTAAGCACACTCATTAGCAAATGAAGTTGAAGGGGGAAGAAAAAAGGGAATGCAGGAGTGTGGTAGGAAGGCTTCATGTCAGCCTCTACTATTCACTCTCCTGTTCACAGCTCTGGTTTTGAGTGGGAATTACAGGAGGGGTAACATGATGTCTGTGCCTGGCTACTGGATAAGAACAGAAGTGAGAGGCCTCCTAATTATGAAATGACAAAAAGCCAAACCTTTCAAGTCCACTGTCTCATCTCAATCGGTTCATCCCTCTTTTCCCTGCTGACTCTTCCATCACCCTCTCTACCCCGAGTTACCCATCCTTAGTGAGAGTCAACCAACACGTGCTGGCATTCAATGCACAGCTTTTCCACCCCAATTCTGCTCCTTGGGTGGCCAACGTACCATGTCTCGGACATAGGAATCCGGCCGCTGCAGCTTCACCTTTTTCCCTGTGCTGGTGTCTATCCAGGTGTTGGACCCATAGATCATGGTGATGGGCACATCTTTTCGAATCAAGTGAATTCGTTCTATCATGGGGCGCCGGGCCCAGCCGAAGGACTCCATCATGGCTTTGAAGGCCGTCTCACCACTAAGAAGCAAAACAGGGTGAGGCAATTAGAATAAACCCCACAGCATAAAATGTCAAACTGTTGGTCTCTTCAGAGGCTGGGGCAGTATCTTCATCATCTTGGTATTCCTCTCAAACCCTGGGTTTGAGACTCACTAAATATTGGTAAGATTAGGAGAAAGGACTGAATCTCTAGAGGCCTCTTAACACAAAACAGAGTTAGAGGGATACACTTGTGAAAACCCCTAGGACACTGAGTATTGTCCAAGAATGCAATGGGTTAATATTTATTCAAAAAATATTCATGTGTCATGCCCTAACCTGAGTGGGGGGACAGATGAACAAGACACATTTCAGCTCACACTTTAGGCATTAAGTAATGAATTATATGATTCATTAACTACACATTTCCCAAGAATTATGAAAGGGTAGTGGAGTGCCATGAGAACACAGAGTAAGGACTTAGCTGGCGGGGGGTGGAGGGAGGTCAGGAGTTCATTGGGGGCGGAGTCTCAAGAGCGAGTGCTATGGGAGTACAAAGGGTTTCCTGAGGAGACTGTGAATAAAACAGTCATGTGAAGACCTGGGGGAGCAGCAGTTGGTGTTGTGTGAGAAGCGAGGACTGCCAATCAGATCTACTTCGCTTTTTCCTGGTCATTTCCTTAGGTAGAGCTAATTGAGGCCGTATCATGGTCTGCAAAGGGTCTGCATGCATTATGCAGAACTAGTTCTGAGGCTGGGGAACATTCTGAGGAAAGGGCTAGGTAAGGGGCCTCAAGTGGGTATGAGACTGGCGCTGAGCCCAGAGGGGGCTGAAAGACGGGCAGAGAGGAGAAAGCAGGGGGCTACCTGATTTGACTGTTGAGCTGAGTTTCTATACTGCTGCCTAAGCAGCGCCCTTCAATTAGCGGTGCTCACGAGGAATGTTGAATGGACAGTTCCCACGCTGCCTGAAAGCTGTCTGGGTTTGAGGCTAATGCTCAGACAGTACTGATGGAATGCAAATCCCCTCCTTCTTCACAGCTTTGGCTCACAACAGCGACACAAACAGGCCTGGAATGAGGCGGGGCAGTGCTGTGGCTCCCAGTGAACTTGGCTCCCCTGAGATGCCTCCCAGCAGCTCAGGGTGAGGCCACCACAGAGGCAGTGCCTCCTGGTATCAGCCACTCACACAGCACGGCCTGAGGGGAAGATTACCTCCGGGACTCTGCCCTGGCTGTCAGCTACAAGCCTATGGGGGCTGCTGGGTGAGCAGTCACAGACCTGAGCCTCTCAAGATTCTGGGGACACCCGCAAATCTCCAAAAGATTTGGAAAGAATTACTGTCCCAACAATACTCAAGGCGCACATGATTAAATTTTAAAATAGGTACTTTCTCAATCAGCGATTCTATTTGTAGGAACGTACTCTATAGACCAGTGGTTCTCAACCTTCCTAATGCTGCGACCCTTTAATACAGTTCCTCATGTTGTGGTGACCCCCAATTTCATTGTTACAAATTGAACATAATTAAAGCATAGTGATTAATCACAAAAACAATATGTAATTACATATGTGTTTTCCGATGGTCTTAGGCGACCCCTGTGAAAGGGTCGTTCAATCCCCAAAGGGGTCGCGACCCACAGGTTGAGAACCACTGCTATAGACAGTCGTGTGTGCAGAGGGAGATATGCAAGGAGGTTCTCTGAAGTTGTCACATGATATGTCAGACTGGCAGTAACAAGAAAGTTGGAAATTACAAGTCTGGGACAGGCAAAGACTTTTTTCTTTCTTTTTGCTTTTATAAAAATACCGTATTCATTAGTAAAAAAAAACAAAACATCAATCTTTCAAATGTTTTCCAGACTCTTGCCTGTCAGGATAACCGCCTATCTCTACAGAAGAGTAAGGGTCACCTGTAGAGACAGTGGCAATTTTAATTAATGTTATCTTCTCCATCTCTTTGTGCCTACCCCTGAGGAAGTCTCTGGAAATGATCAAGCCTGCTAATGCTTCTGTCCTCCTAACTCAGCGACTTTCAACTGATGTGCTGCAAGAATTTTTAAAACATGCAATACCTGACTGTTTAGTCAGGGACACTGACCTCTTTTCTCTTAGATTATCAAATTAAAAAAAAAAATGACAACAGCCAACACAACAGTAGTCATCCAGTATGCATGAATCAAAATTATACCTATTTTTTTTGTCAGATCGGCAAAAAATATACTTTTTGGTGTGCCGCAGAATTTTAGTAATTAGTTTATGTGTGCCATGAGATGGAGGTTGAAAAATCACTGCCCAAACTGAATGAAAACTTTGTGGAAGAAGAAACACAGCACAGAACAATCCTGTGACAGTTGTGCAGTTTTCGTGTTATCTTGTCCACCTGGCGCTGGCTCTGGGTGCTGCTCTCACCTGGGGTTTTGTGCGTTGCAGTGGTAGATATACTCTGATATAGTATCATCTTCAAAGAAGTCTGCAAACTTGCGCTTGAAGTCTGGTCGGAATCGCTGCACCAAGCCAGGCCCTGGGAGGGGACAGGAGAGCATGGAGGGGCCAGTTTGGGTGGTGGGGGAGAGACTCCTGCCTGTGCATGCTTGAACAACATTATTTCTCCTATTCCTGGGACCCTTACAGCCTTTTAATCTTAAGGTAGTGAGTGAAACTAGACCATCTCCCAAGAGGCCGGTCATATTAAGGCCTGTAACATAATATGAGTGGAGAGGCAAGCTTAACCCTGACATCTCAGACTCCGGCGGTTTTAGAGCAATCTGTTCTCTTCACCTTTATATAGTCCATAAACAAGCAGCAGGGCACCCAAAACAGACTGTCAAAATTGGGGCCTACTGGTCAACACCCTTCTGGTCTTCTCTCTGCATGTAAGCAGCAAGGGGTCAGAGGGCGGCACAGCCAGGATCCCCTGGGCCCTGGCCTCCTCCATGGCTGTCAGCCAACTGCCACAACCACACTAGCTCTGATGCCCATGCACGAACCCAGCCAGATGCAAGTCCAAAAACGGGGAGCGTGGTAAGAGCTGAGCTTCTCCTAAACTCCTACCTTCTCCTCAAATGCTCATATTTCCCTTTTATCCAGAGCCATTCTGTTTCTCATGAAGGGCCTGGAGAGATAACTCTTATTTAGCCGTTTGCAATTAACTCACAATAATTGGCTATTGAACATTACCATGTATACATCAGCCATTAGTGTAAGACAGAGCGTCACCAACCCTTCCCATAAAGGGCATGTGCTTTTCACTCCATCAGAGTAAAAAGCTCCCCAGAAAGTTAGGGTGCTGGCAGGGTGAGGTCAGAAGCCTGGGGCCTATTGATTTCACTTCCTCTGGCTGGTTCCCTCGGAACGCCTTCCCTCCCTTCAGCCACAGAATTTGCTGACAGCTACTAAATGGTGAAGATGTGGTGCCTGTCTGGAGCAGGGCATGGTTTCGAGGGGCTTGCCTGACACTGTGGGTTGTGTTGGAGGCTCTGGTTCTGACATCTCCCTGCTGCAGGTGCTGGGTGAGCTGCAGAGGTGGGAGCCAGTGGTGGTTACCACGCTGAATCACCAGCAGGTTGCCATAAACTCACACAGGTAGCATAAGAATTCAGCAGAGGAAGAGTCACCTCATGGTCCCTTTCTTTCTCTCTCTCTCTCTCTCTCTCTGGGGGTCTAACCAAGGCACAGAGTAGTAGTTCTGCTCCATCTGTCCCTTGCATAGGAAAGCTTTTTTCCATGCAAATGAAAGAAAAAAAGAACCTTCTGAAACTGCAGACAAAGAAATCTGGTCCAGATTAATAGCTTAAAATAACAATGCTAGGTCCATTCCCACTTTTCAAGGACAAGCGAGGATGATGGGAGCCCAGAAGCAGTGGGGCTTCTAGCATGGGATAGCCTTGGTTTGAGGAGATAGTTTCTGTATCTGTAGGCTACTCACCCCAGGGCCCAGCTATTCGAAGAACAGCCAGTGGGTTGGAACGCCCTAGGACAGAGGCCACAGCCTTGACCCAGGTTGGGGGTGCACGGATCTCACTGGGGTCAGTCGGCCGGAGGGGAAAGCCCCATGGGTCCACCAGGATGAGGTGCTTAACTCTACAGGGGGACAAAGGAAAAGCTGTATTTGCTTGGAGATACCACAGCCCTTAAATCACCCAGGAAAAAGAGAGCTACAGTGGGGCCTTGACTTACGAGTTTAATTCGTTCCGTGACGGAGCTCATAACTCAAATTACTCGTATGTCAAATCACTGTGACGTTCGCTGTGCCAACTAGCGGTGGGGTATCTGAAGCTGGCTCGTAACCCGAATTTTTTTGAGCTTGCAACTCAAAGCAAAAAATTGGCCGAGCGACGGCTCGTATCTCAAAAAAACTCGTTAGTCAGGACACTCGTAAGTCAAGGCCCCACTGTATTGGAAACTAATACTGGAAGCTTCCCAGTGAGGCAAGGAGTTGGATAGTGACCCAGAGGGTGGGTCCTTCTTACCTTTCAGGGTACTTGATAGAGTAAGAAGTGGCCAGGAATCCTCCCAAACTGTGCCCTAGGAGGATCATGCTGGGGATCCCCATGGTCTCCCTCCACGTCTCTATTGAGATCACAAACTCATTCTCGGCCCCTTCTGGGTCCCTCGGGAATGTTGGCCTGGAGCTTCTCCCGAAGCCAAGCAGATCAAACGTGTGCAGTGTGCGGCGGGCACTCAGTGAATCCATGTTGAGGATCCAGAGGCCCACGCCACCCCCAAAGCCATGCACCATCACCAAAGGGGTGCGGTCCCTGAGCTCGGGGCTCACGGTCACCGTCCAGATCTTGTTCTGGTTTGGGAGAGACACATACCGGGCCAGGAACTTGTTCTGGAGACCTGGGGAGAGGAGATTCAGGGCGAGCAATACGTCTGCTTTCTGACAGCATCGTCATGTTGCCTGGATGATCAGTCTCCAGCTCTGTCCCGCCGTTCCCAAACCTCCCTGACCTCCCTCACCTCTTTCCTTTTTATATCCCTCTCACCATACACCCCAAGAGTTAAACTCTGAATACAATTTGTAGACCATCTACTCTATTGGTAATAAGAGTGGCCATCTTATTCCTTGAGACTGTTTGCCTGGCTGCCTTTGGGCACAGGGTGGCAGTGACTCCACCAACCTACAGAGCGCCTGCACCCATTGCTCTTGTACCTGTGTGCTTGGGGCTTGACAGATGGACAGAAGTGTCCTCACTGAGGGCATCTGGGAGGAGGGCTTTTAACTGGAGTTGAGACAGGCGGAGGGTGTGACAGGTGTGAACTGAGCCACCGGCTTATTCCTCTTAGAGACAGACCCAGGTGGGCAGTGCTTGCTCTGCTGGTGTGAAGGCAATTACATGACAGAGCTGCCTGGGGAAAGTGACTTGGATCCTGGACAAAAGCTTGAAAGCTGTGGCTATTCTTCAGTTGTACTTACTCAGGCCCATAAGAGGTGAGCCATGGCTGGGGAAGTAGAACAGGGCAGGTAAGATCAGAGGAAAACAGGGAGATGTGGCCCAAGGGCCTTGTTTGAGCCAGTGGTGGGGAAATAGTAATATTAGAGAATATAGGACTTCTTTGCTGGTCCTTGGGTAGCAAGGTGGTAAATCTAAGAAGTGCTTGTGTGTTTGGAAGAACAGACAGGGAGAAAGAAAGAAGAGAGGAGTAGGAGAAGGAAGAAAAGGAGAGAATATGTGTATTTGTGTGTGTTGTGTGCTAATAGTTGGTACAGGGTTGGAGGTGAAGTTGTGGGATGTGGCAGAAACTACATGATGGACAGGGAGGGCGACACTGAGGAACCATTATCATAGAATTCAGTGTCCTCTGTATAAATCTCTTCCCTTAGATCACTGACAACCTTTCCTCCCACCCTCAAACATTTTTTATCAGGAGTCAGTGGGCTCAGTGTACCAGGCTCTGGGAAGATCCCGTATCCTCCTTAGGCCTCCTGAGGGAGGTGGCACAAGCTGTCCCCTCTACTTACACTGGAGGATCTTGGCTTCCACATTCTTCAATTGAGACATCGAAGTGGGGCGCCAAGCCGGCAGCCAGCTACTCAGCCAGCCTTGAGGCCTGGGACAAAGAGACACAGAGATGCTCGTTGGCAACATTGGAAAGGAAACATTGATGCCCTGAGCCTTGCTGACAGATACAAAAGAGTTATCAGGGTACAGGGTGTTTTCCAGGCTCAGGAGACCTCCCACTATGGCAGTCAGCAATTCCCTCACGGCCTGATAGACTGTTACTCTTCTCTGGTAAATGGCTATTAACAACATGCTCTTTGTTTCAAAGATGCTCAGAATATCATGTGCACAGCACTTTACAGTTTACAAAGCACTTTCACATTTATCTCATTTGAGCTTTACAAACACTTTTGCCACTGGTTTTCGTGTTTCAAGAGATATAAGGGGGACAAACCCACCTTTAACTAATGCTTTCAGTTATCTTTTGCTATCCTCAGGACTGAATGTTCCTTTAGAATAGGACAAGTTCCCATGCCACCTGCCCTCCTGGCAGGGCACTGCAGTTTGTGTGTGCCCTCTTTCAAGCCCCTGGAAGTACAGAGCACTGTCAGTGCCCAGCTGGGCTCCCAGGAAACCTTTAAGCAATGAGATGGGATAGGCAGGGAGCAAGAGATGGGAGACCTGGGTTCAAGTCCTGCGGTGAATCACCAGCTGGACACAGGTTGCCTCTGGCCGTGTTCTCCAGATTATAAAATGAGTAAAAAACTCACACAGGTCTTATCTCCCATAGCAGGCAATAAAACAGATAAGATACGCTATTCTGCTTTCTCCTTCATATCCACAGGACTTTAAGTCATTGCAGAGTAGAAGTTGAAAGCACCAGTTTTGGAAATAAAAAAACACACCTTGGATCTGAGTCACGGTATTATCATTTTCGAGCAGAATGACTTTGGCCTGATGAACAGCCTGTCTTTGAGCATTTAGATATGTAAGGGAACTTATAAGGTGCCTGGTACAAATTAGATGCTCAATGAATGAGTTTTTATTATTTCTTTTCCATCGCATATGACATTTCTCTTTTCTGGGTGAAGAGGATTATGGGATGGACACACCAGCTGTAGGAAAGGCCTGTGAACATGGGTATAGTCACACAGAGCATTCTGTGGGAGAACGAGAGGAACCACTGCCACCCCCCCTCCCCCCTTAGCACACACTGGGCATCCTGGTACATCAGTTGAAGCACAGAGCTTTAGATAAGGATGGCCCTTAGAAATCATCTAGCCCAGTCTCTCTGTTTTACAGATGACCAAACTGATGCCCAAAGAGGTCAGACAGTTAGTGAGAAAAAGAAGCAGAACTAGAAAACCCAGATTTGCAATCCAGGTTTCTCTGTACTTCTTCTCTGGAAGTTCCAGCCTTGGTGTTTGAAGGCCATACACAAATACTTACGGTATAGGACATAATTTTCACACTGGTCTCTGTTTTCTGAAAGGAGGTGTGATCTAAAGGCAGAAGGTCAGATTTCTAATCCTGGCACTGCCACTTACCAGCAATATGACTTCCACTTTCTGTGTCAAACTTTCCCCTTTAAAAGGGCGGTACTAACAGTACCTACCTCACAGGGTTGTTATACAGATTAAGTGAGTTAATGCACCTAAAATACATAGAATAAAGTCTAGCACAAAATAAAATTCCCAATAAACGTTTCCCCCCAGCTAAATCATAAGCTATTTTGCAAATAGCAAGTCTCAATGATTGTTTGAGGTTTGAAATACTGAGGTTGCACCCGAGAGTGGTATATCAATAACATTACAGCCAGATGAGAGTTGTCAGTTTCATCAATCAAATCCTATGGAGACTCATAACCCATTTAATTTTCCACTGGAATTCCTTGTAAGCCTGAAGCATCTGGATCCCGCACTGCAGCACTCAGGAGAAATGTTGTTCCATGGAACAGCACTATGGGCTGCTCAGCAGATATTCAGGGGGAGTTTTACTTTGCCTCTCTTCTTCACCAAAAATGTTGCAGGTAAAGCACTGGAAATATTGTCTGGCACACTGAATCTGATTAATACAATTGGGGAGGTGAGGGAAGGGGATAGGGGGGTTCAGGCAAAGAGAAGAAAAGCCACTTAGCCATGAACTTGGGCTGGCCAGGATGGTCTCGTCCCTCTAGAGCAGTGGTTCTCAGCCTTGGCTGCACATTAGAATCACCTGGGAATCTTTTTAAAATTTAAAATCAGGATTTAAAAAAGATTCCCAGGTGATTCTAATCTGCAGCCAAGGTTGAGAACCACTGCTCTAGAGCATTTTTATCCGAACAGAGGTAAGGCAGGAGAGGTTCTGTGCGGGGTCTGTGATCTTGGGCAAGTCTTCTAACTTCTATGGGCACTGACTTCTTTGTCTGTAAAAAAGAGCTGAACTACCTGCATCTCAACCGGCTCTAATATTGTTTCCCTAAGTCGCTGTAGCTACTGTACAGTTCTTGGAAAAGTTATCTTAGAGAGCAACTCTCCTGGGCAGCTTCTTCAAGCACAGGAAGCTACTACTGTGTCATAAAGTTAATTCCTTTTGCAAACTGCCAGTTATGCTGGTCTGAAAAGGGGGACCGCGGGACCCACAAAAGGACGGGAGCTAGTGACACCGAGGCTTGGCTGGGAGCTGAGTCATTCTTCTGGAAGCAACTTTGCCTGGCTCCTAGAGACTGCAAATGGCTAACCACACCAGCTACAGGTGGCGCCCCAAACCCGATGCCCTTGAGGCAGTGGTAACAAGTCTCAAGAGCTCTAATTTTGAGACCACAGCAAAAAAGATAGTTATAATGATTAAAAACTTTATCAGCTAGGGTCGCAAGCTGCAGTGTCTCGGCGGGTGAGAACTAAAGAAGGCTTGCAAGCCCATTCATTATTCCAAGCAGACCAATTCCAGCGCGGCGGCGGCCTTTCTCCTCTTCCCGTGCCCTCTCCGTGCCCTGCGAAATGAGGCTCTTTCCACCCCCGACTTCCAAACCAGGGCCAGTCCAGGCTGGCGGACCTGGCTGCCACCCCCGCAACCGCATCCCGCCAGCATGCTTCGGTGGATCTCAGACATTCCCACGGAATCTAATCCCCGAGCACAGCGGGGAGAGGAGAACGAGGAGCGATCGCGGATACCAACGTGCAAAGTTCGAATCTCGGAGCGGCATGCAGGCTAACTCATTTCCATCGCTCCCCCGGCTCCGCCGCCGCCTCCTCTGGGCAAAAGCAAAGCGAGCATAGGCAGCCCCCAGCCCTCCCATGAGGCCGACCTGAGACAGGAAAGGCAGGAAGATGTCTAAAAGTGTTCCTCAGCCACAGACAGTCCCAGGATCATGGGCCAGAGAGAGACAGAGAAAGAGAAAGAGACGGGATTAACTCACTGCTGCTCCAGATCATCAGCCATAGTAAACAAGCCCTGCCGGGTCGAGCCGAGCCAGCCCGTCCCTCTGCCTGACGCCAGCACCAGCTGACCTAGCAAAGGGTCGGATAACAAAGTGGGGCGGGGCCAGCGCGGGACGGGGAGGCGGGGCCCCGGCACCGGGACTCTGGCCTTGAACCTCGGCGGGTGGCGGGTGGCGGGGACCCGGAACAGGTGCAGGCGGAGTGGTCTCCCGGTCTCGCAGAATAGGACCGTAATTCTGGGCACACATTTGGGAGACAGTCAGGGAGGCGAGTAGTACCGAAACCACGGAGTCCCTCATGGGAGCTCACCAGCCCTCCATGCTCTCAAGATCAGAAAGTGACAGGACTCCCCCCGCAGGCGCTCACACTGTCTGGGCCTCCCTATTATATAGCTCCCTGTCCTCGGAAGTCCTCCCCTGGTGTCCTTTCTAATCTGGGGCTTATGATGTTTGTAGAGACCACACCACTGGTTAAATGTTCCTACCAAAGGCCTGTACCCTAAGTAGATTGCCAGGTTTCATAAAGAACAGCACGCCTAGTTAAAGCTGAATTTCAGGCAAACAACAAATACTTTTAAATTTTTATTTTTATATTGATTTCAGAGAGGAGGGGAAAGGGAGAAACATAGAAACATCAATGATGAGAGAGAATCATTGATCGGCTGCCTCCCGCTTGCCCCCCGACTGGGGATTGAGGCTGCAACCTGGGCATGTGCCCTTGACGGAAATCGAACCCAGGCGGGACCTTTCAGTCTGTAGGCCAAAGCTCTATCCACTGAGCCAAACTGGCCAGGGCCAACAAATACTTTTATAGAGCAAGTATGTCCCGTGTAATATTTGGGACATAATGTTGTAATGTACCCCGCGAATCACAGAAGGACGCCTCAAGAAGTCGAATTAAAGAATCACATTTATTGCAATCCGGGACTATGAGGGGGCATTTCGCTCTCCCAGATCTCATAGTGCCCTCCCCAGCCCCAACATCAGATTTATAGGCAAAGATCACAAAGGTATTGATTACATCCCAGGGTTTGGAATGAGGAACCTGGTTCGAAAAAAAGCAGTTTACAGAAGCAGAATTAAGCATGTTAATTATAGTTTTGGGTCTCTGGGTCACTGAGTTGACAGGAACACATTATCTAGAGCCCTGGGGTCTTGAGATCACTGAGTTAACAGGAACACATTATCTAGAGCCCTCGGGTCTTGGGACCACTGAGTTGACAGGGAAACATTATCTGGAAACCTCAGGTCTTGGGATAATTGTGCTGTCCTGGTTCCCAGGTACAGAGGAATTTGCTTTCTAAAACCAGTAAGATCACAATCAATGGGATATTTGCATTACAATCAATAAGGCATTCAATCGAATGGGATGATTTATACAATTCAGAAAATCAAAATAACTTTTCTATTGTTAAACAAAGCAAGTAAGTACAGAAGCCAAACAGCAGGGTTAAAGTTAAACTATAGTTTCTACCTGAGATGATTGCTAGCATACTTCAATGACTTGGCATCCTGTATTTTATCTGTCAACCCTAAACCTAAGCGATGCAAATCCTTTGCTCTGGAGATTCCCCAACCTAGTTTCCAGGAAGATGTGGCTCAATCCCAGGTCTTTCACAGTTTGGAAGATCCCCGGCTCCAGCCTCCTCCCCTCAGGAGGGGGAGTTGAAGAACTAACTTACAAGGCTAGACCTGCTTTAGGGGTGTGGGGGTTTGGAGGAGAGAGTGGTTGGCTTAGCTCAGCGGTCCTGAGTGTACTTCAGGTTTGCTCGGCAGAGGAGCCAAATCTTGAGGCTGACTCCAGACCTTACCTGGACTGATAAACAGGGCCTGATGTCCCTGGAGCTGTCTGATTTCAGGTTGTCCCTAGGTTAGGTTAAAACTAGACTTCGGGTGGTGGTCGGTGGGAGAATGCTAGTCCTGAGGGGTTTGTCAAGGTGTTTTCTTTAGCCATCATGCAGGACTCGGGAGAATGAGATTTCTTCTTTCTTGTAACACAGTGTCAAAATGATGAGTATCATGGTAAGGGCTTACTAGCATATATACATATATCTTAGAGGCCCGATGCATGAAATTTGTGCAAGAGTAGGTCTTCCTTCCCCCAGCTGCCGGCACTGGCTTCCCTCTAGCACCCAGGACCCGGGCTCCCCTCACAGCCCTGGCTTTGTCTGGAAGATGGTCTGGAAGGACCCCCGGAAGGATGTCCGGTCTAATTAGCATGTTATGCTTTTATTATTATAGATTATTATAGATATACCCTGCCCTTCCTCTAAACTTAATTTTAAAAAGTTATTATAAAAATAATAGCCTGCTCTAGTGGTAAATAAGATTTTTCTATCTGCTGTCATCCTAGCTGTTTATCGGCAACTTTGTATTCAGAGCTCAGCTCAAACTTCCCCTCTTCTGAGGCCTTTCCTGACCGCAGGGTCTAAAAGAGGTGCCTAACTGCTGGTGGGAATGCATACTGGTGCAGCCACTATGGAAGACAGTATGGAGTTTCCTCAAAAAACTAAAAATGGAACTCCCATTTTGTGAAGGAAAACCCCTATTCTGTAAAACTACTGTTTGGAATTCTCTGCTATTCTTTGGATGGCCTCTTACTCTGAAAAAGTAACTTTGCTTTCTAGCCTGCTTGAATAGTGGGGGAGATAAACTTAGCTCTCTGACCTTGTAGGCCAGAGACTAGATACATCCAATGCCATGCCAGGTGCATTTTTTAATTGGATAGAACTGTATAGTTTTCAAGGCCGCTGGCAAGCACACAAAGGGCTGGCTCTTCTATAAAAAGGGAAGTTCTGCTTGTAGCTTTGCTTAGATTTGGATTCATTTCCCTGAGCCCGCCGCAGTGAATAAAGTGTAACTCCAAACTCTCAGAGCGCTGTTTGGTTCTGGTCCGGTTTTTTCTGTAACAATTTGACCCTGTGATCCCACTTCTAGGAATATATCCCAAGAAACCAGAAACACCAATCAGAAAGGATATATGCACCCATATGTTCATAGCAGCACAATTCACCATAGCTAAGATCTGGAAACAGCCTAAGTGCCCATCAGTAGATGAATGGATTAGAAAACTGTGGTACATCTACATGATGGAATACTATGCTGCTCTAAAAAAGAAGGAACTCTTACCATTTGCAATGGTATGGATGGAACTGGAGAGCATTATGCTAAGTGAAATAAGCCAGTCAATGAAGGAAAAATACCACATGATCTCACTCATTCATGGATAATAGAGACCATTATAAACTTATGAACAATAATAGATACAGAGGCAGAGCTGCCTCAAACAGATTGTCAAACTGCAGCAGGAAGGCCGGGAGGGTGGGGGGTGGGTAGGAGGGAGGGGGGTAAGAGATCAACCGAAGGACTTGTATGCATGCATAGAAGCATAACCAGTGGACATAAGACACTGGGGGGTAGGGGAGGCCAGGGGATTGTCAAGGGTGGGGGGAAAAAAAGGACACATATGCAATACCCTTTGTAATACTTTAAGCAATAAAAAAATAAAATAAAATAAAATAAAATAAAAAAGAGGTGCCTAGTCTACCTGTCACATTATTTTCTTCATAACACTTACCACTATCTGACATTCTCATGTGTATTTGTTTACTCATTTATTATCAGTTTCCCTCCACTAGAGCCTAAGGTTCATGGGGACCTTGTCTGTTTTGTTCTCTGCTCTGTTGCCAGCACCTAGGACAGGATGTGGCACAGAGTAGACAGTCAGTACTTACTGGATAAATAAATGGATGAAAAGTCTAGCCAGGAGGCAGGTATGTAAACAATTACCTATAAAACAATGTTCTAAGTGTCAAGGGCTTTGGGAGCTGTATTTTAAATTGTACGACATGGGAAATTCCAGGCTACGTCACTTTAAGACAGGGCAACACAATCTCCCACTTTCCTGAAAACCTGTAGAATGGAGAACTTTTTGAGGCAAGCATGACCGGCAGGAACTCTCCAGGCCTCATCTTAGGAGGCAATGCAGAAAAATCTTTGATGTGCCAACCAGCTTTACAGCAGAGGTTGCTTAGTAGGAGGAAACTCGAACATATGGAAAATGCCTTTTATAATCAAATTTAATAGATCTCTTAAGATACTGAGATATCTTAGGACTGGGTTAGATCTGTTAGAGTTATAGCTTGAAGAAGACTCTCAGTGCCTGCTCTGGGCAGGCCTCTGGGGAGATGGGTAAGGTACTTTTTTCTCCTTATCTTCCAGATAAAATTCACTATGCAAGTATGAAAGAATCTTCCTTCTACCTCCAGCATGCATGATTAAAGTGCTAATATGGTCTTTATGAATAAAATCTAACTTTGAAAACCCTCTTTCCCTTGCCTGTAAGTTATATTAAACATTCCAGAAATAGGTGGAGTTGATAACCTAACAGCTTAGGCTTCACAGCGATGGGTCATTCTTTGGTTTCAAATGGTGTCATTGCCTTTTGAACAAACTATGACCAAGGTGTAACCCTTGGATTAAACATAGGAACTGAATAGAATAGTTGTAAAGTTGCTCTGTCCAATATGCTAAACACTAGCTACTTGTGGCTACTTAAATTTAAATTAATAAAAATTAAGTTGAAGAATGGTAGCAATCATCTCAGGTAGAAACTATAGTTTAACTTTAACCCTGCTGTTTGGATTCTGTACTTATTTGTTGGCTAAAATAATAGAAAAGTTATTTTGATTTTCTGAATTATATAAATTATCCCATTCGATTAAATACCCTATTGATTGTAATGTGAATATCCCATGGGGTTGTGGTCATACTGGTCTTAGAAAGCACATTTTCCTTTACCTGGGAAGGACAGCACAATTATCCCAAGGTCAGAGGGCTCCAGCTAACGTGTCCCTGTTGACTCAGTGTTCTGGAGACCCAAAACTGCGATTTAGATAGCATGCTGCTTCTGCTTCTGTAAACTGCTTTTTTGCAAACCAGGTTCCTCATTCCAGACCCGAGGGCTCTAGATCAGTGATGGCGAACCTTTTGAGCTCGGCGTGTCAGCATTTTGAAAAACCCTAACTTAACTCTGGTACCGTGTCACATAT